CTAGAACTTGGATCAAGTTCTAGCATCGTGGACATAGGCCTTAAGACAGAGACAGAAAGTCTTTGTAAATTCAACGGGACGCTCAGTCTATACTTACTATGTCTACGATTCTCTATCTCTTCTGAGATAATATAAAAAAAAAAAGATAGAGAGTCGACCAACCTCTGGTCAACAGTTAATCGGAAACTGAAAAACCAGGCGTACGAGTCGCAAAACGCCCGCTGGTCGCCCCGATTATTCACAGACTTCGGGTTCGTTAACTCCAACTTTTCTCTTTCCCTCCCAAGATCGAGCGCACACGCTCACTTGGCGCCGAGCGCAGGAAGCGAGACGAGCGAGATCCCGTTAACGCGACGCGATTGGTCCGCCGTCTGCTCGATACCTCGATACCCGACCAAGATGGCGGCCGCGCCTCCGCGAAGCGCCGCGCGGTGGCGCCAGCGTCAGCGCCGACGCGCCGCGCCGCGGCCGCGTCTCCGCGGACCGCCGCGGGCGCGAGCCGCGCGCGTCACGTCCCTGCCGCCGCCTGAGAGCCTTTTGGCCCGTGAACTGCGCAGTTGACAGAGCCCGCACGACGCGTAGCACCGGTGAGTTTTCCCTCCAGAGAGACATTTTCCGCGCGAGGTGCCGTCCGCGTGCCGCCCGTGCCGGCGTCGCGACGCCGTCGCGCCAACGCCGCGGCGCCTCGCCCGCGGCTTTTTTCCGCGCCGCGCGGCGCCGCGCGCGCGCTCGTCCCGCGCCGAGAAACGCCTTATATGCACACGCGTATGCAACATTTCGCTGCGCCTCTCGTGCCGTCGCGACGCGCGCGTATGCGTGCGCGCGCTCGCGCGCGCGCCCGTGCTCGCTTGCTCTCTCTCTCTCTCTCCCTCCTGCTCTCCTCCCGTCCTCCCTCGCTCGCTGCGCCGGCGAGGCGCGACGAAACTGGGACGCCCGCTCGGTGCCGTCCGAGACGATCGTAATTCATAAAGTGTCGCGACGTTTCCTCCGCCGCGACGCCGACGCGCCGCGCCGCGCCGCGCGACAAAACCGGTCGATTTCGGAGCCCGCCGCCGCGCCGCGACGCTACTGCGCAATTCAACGGCGACGCGCGTCGACGTCGGGAGTGCGCGCGCGCGCGCGCACGGTGCCCCACGAATTTCGAGCGGGCCGCTTTTTCGCGCGGGAAAAAAGCCCGCTGCGCGGGACGCGAAGCAATGGCGAGCTATTCTTGGAGCACGGCGGTGCCGCGATCTTGTACTCGCGTTTGCACTCGTCTTCGAGGCGCGCTGCCCGTTCGCGCCAAGGGGTTTCGCGCTCCGTCGACCTCTCGCTCGTTGAGAAACCGAACGGAAAACGGCACGCAACGAGGCGCGCTCGGTCGAGCCGCGGCGGCGCGATTAACCCTTTCGTGACCACCGCGACGTGCAGTCCCGGGTACAAAAGTTAGAAACGACGAGTAACGAGAAGTGGACTTTGAGAACCAACACACGGGAACGAATAAGCGTCAAGTCGCAGTATAATCTCACTTCGAAACTTCCACGCTGATACTAAAGATATCGTCAAAACGAGAATGCTTTTTTTTCCGCGCGACTAATTTTATGCAATGCTGTAGCGCCAGTCCGTAATAAATTACAAATCGCGCCTTTACTTTGCAAATGTTTGATTAAACAATTTCTGCGAAACTGACGAAAAAACCGTATCAATGAAAGCTGAATTCGGTTACGAAAGGGTTAAGTTATATTTAGAAAAATCGTACTTGTACTTTGAGAGAGGCTGCGAATGCGAAATAGTTGTTGTCTACAAGTCACTTATCATTTATAATTTCAACGCAATATATGTATATGTTATAATATAATCTAGCGAATGTGATAATACCTGTTGATTGGATTATCGAGGGATCAGAAATCTGATTTGGCATTAAGTTCCTATTTTTTTCGAGGTCGTTTTAATTCGCGCGCAACGCCAATTTATGCAAATTCAATCTCAGTTCTTGCGAAGCTGTTACAATTCAATCGCCAAGTTATCCTCTGCCACCAATCTCTTTTAAATATGCTAACGTTCGTCCCGCGGCTCGTACGCGCATCTGGCGTTGTATCTGATATAAAATATCTGGATTTAATATGATAATGAATGTAGCGGCCTTATCTACGGCGCACTGCAGCATTGATTAATTCGTGCCCTCTCACTCACGTTCGTATCTCTCGTCTCGTTGCCTTTAACAATTCAATGCCGTCCGTATGAGCTCTCGTATCCTCGCGGTGGAGAATACACATTGATTTTTTAAACTATCGCGCGGCACGCAATAATACGCGAACAAACAAGATGTATCAACAAGATCAGTGTAATTGAAATAAAATCGTTGAAATAACATCAGTATTAATAAATGAAAAACATTAGACTGTTGCCTCAATAATCCGGATATTCAGTTCAATGCTTAAAATTAAAATCCATAGCAAACACAATTGAGTGAATTAATTATGTTTCTAGCAGCCCGTGACGTTAACGTTTAATTCAAGCAACTTTATTTTGCTTAATTCAATAGCAATTTTTTTCGGTGCACGACTTAGTGTAAAATAGTTTTATTGTACATTTATTAGTCATATTCTGGCGTCGCTGAAGATCAAGTAGAAATGTTCAACTTGAAAATTGACTCTTTAAGGCCTGTGTCCACGATTATAAAATTTGGTTTAAGCTCTAGTTTCGAGAAATGTGAAGCCAATCAACTTGCAGCTTTTATGGAATAGCTGCAAGTTGATTGGCTTTACATTTCTCGGAATTAGAACTTGGACCAAGTTCTAAGATCGTGGAGACAGGACTTATACACATTGATTTTTAAACTATTGCGCTGGGCACGCAATACGAATTAATGCAAAAGAGTTTTATTGTACATTTATTAGTCATAATCTGGCGTAGCTGAAAATCGAATAGGAATATTCAACTTAAAAATTGACCCTTTATAATGATTCAAGTTGTTCTCTTCTATAATTTTTATTATTAAGACTTTTTTGAACTCGCAGCACATCGTTGTTTTGGCTCGTGAGTTGGCCGTTACTTATTCACGGAGCAGAAAGAGTTTCAGTAGTGTCTGAAATATTTCAGAATTGTGTTCTGTTTTTTTTTAGCAGAAACATTTCGTCTCTTCGTTTAATTAACGTAATCGCGGTTTATATTAATTTTCTATTGGCATATTTATCACGAGAAAGCAAAGGTCGGGACAGAAGTATTTTTTTTTTACGAAAGTTTCGCCCAGGAAAAGATTTAAAATTTGATGAAGGACCCGCTCGCGGGTAGAGCACCGTGCACCAGTTCCGAAACAGTTCGTGTTACATTGCGTTACGAGGAAATCCACTGAGTACCATCTCAGGTTAGTTGAGAAGTAATTGAGGTTCGTAGACGGCGGGCGTCGAGGCAGAGCCGGCGTTTTCTTTTAACGAATCCGCGATATTTCCTTCGTATCACGTCCTTGGAAACAAGGTTCGCAAT